TATTTCAATTAATTATTATATTAAACATAAATTTATATATCAGGTAGTATGCACTTGTTTAAATAAAGTTATAAGCATTTTTAAGAATTTTTTTTACTGAAAATATTTCCAGTAGAGAAACTCTAAAAAACGTTCTAACTTGTATATAAAAAAAAACCTTATATCAATTTAAATATATTAATTATAGATAAATTTTAGTGTGGTCCACTATTATATGTGATTTACCATGGTGAATTGTTATCCATCATTAGATTGTGTGGTTATATCATATCTAAAAGTGGACCATATGTAGCAAAAACATTTTTCCATTTTTAGTTATTTTTTCCTTCTCCTTTCTTTGTTCTCACTAGCTAACTCTAAGAATAATTATTCACCCATCATCAAGGGCTTATGTTCAAAAGTTAAAAACAAAATATATATCTGAAAGGAATCGAAGGGCATGCATCTATCCCTCATCTGGCTATTTCAACCATTAAGGTTAGACACCAACACCATGAACAAAAGTAACATACCACACTACTATCCTCAGTCTTGGTCACTCTGAGAGTTGAGACAACCGATACACTCATGTTGCATAGTTTTGTTACGTCATTTACTAAACGCTAATGACAACCTAAATAGTTCACCATTACATGAGATGCCCATCTTGATGCAACCTTGGTCTTCTCGACCTCTAAGAAAGTTGAGATAAACCATTTGGGTTAACCTCGTCACTCTCTGTGGCTGAGCAAACTAAGATACTTAGTGCTATTAGGCCTCCAAGAACGTAATGAGAATCACGTAACGAGAATCACATAACTAATGAAGAAAGCAAACAAAATTAAGGAATAATCCATTATCAATAGTCATATTACCTAATTAGTAATTAGGAAACAAGGTCCACCAAACTCAAACCCATTATGATCAATATAAATAGTCATGCAAAATGAGGTAAAAATACTGTTTATTTATTACTCTTCAAGATATTTGAGTCCATCCTAACTTGAGCGTTGGAATGTCTTTTACAAGTGCCACAACCTTCGGAGTTCTTTGCCCGTGTAGAGAGCTTAGCGTCCAACATAGAGATTTGCTAGTGTGCTATCAGATTAGGTACAAAAACTAATGTTGCTAGATTATTTATTGTTATAAATTGATTTTGAACATCAAATTAAAGTAAAGAATATTGATGAGTTATATGGTGAATGAGTTCAGTAATTACGACAGGTTGGACAAACAAACGATAAATAACTTTTATATGGATGCGTGCATCAATATTGTACAAATGGAATAAGCTTAATGTTGGGAAGTGAATGAAGACATTACAATGATAAGTGTGTGACATTTCTGACAAGCCATTGGGGATCATGCTCAACATCACCACCTCCATGTTGTAATGATTCGTTATGATTCTTACACTTAACAGATCAACTACTAACAATAAAATTAGATACAACTACCTAAGGTTAACATATAAACAGTTCTTGAAAAACATAATAATAATATAAATATATGCGTAAGGATGAAACACACCTTAAATTAAAGTTTCTCAAAGGAACAACAACATATACATACACATATAATTACATATAGTGATCTAAAAGCAACCGTAAATATACACTTAAATTGTCAGTCAAACAACACTACAAAACTATACAAAAGTAGATTTTCAGTTATATCGCCATCCAACAGTATGACTCTCCATACGCTAGACTCCTCAAGTCTAACTTTGCTTAGCTCCCATGTAAACATGATCATTATAGTCCAATCACCAACAAACATATATGAGTTAACTAGTAAATAATAGAATAATCATTCTACAAGTACAAAAGTAAGACAACTATACTATCAACAATATCATGTAAATTACAAACACCTTATGACTATTACAACATTTTAACACCACAACAAATGTTACACATGACATTCAACAACTTAAAAAGATAACTAAGATCTCATCATACAAGATAATGTCATCCAACAACAAAATCAAGCAGCATATGAATAATACCAAAACCATTACATCATATACACAACACTTCAATTATATGCATCATCATCCATTTACCTTCTATAATAAAAAATTATTCTATAAAAGAAATAATTAATCCAATTTTAAAATATCTTACATCATAGTCACTTTAACATAGAATTCCGTATAGGATGGAATTCCGTATTTGAAGGGCCCGTCTACTCGCCAAAAAGAAAAAAGAATCATATATATTTGAAGTATTGAGTTACACTAATATAATTGATAATTAATGAATTAAGTGATTAACTCTTTTTGTTTTTTAGTATGCTGACAATCATGCTCCTTAGAAACACCAGCCACCATGATCAATTCGTTGAATGACAAGTGACGGGCGGCGTTGTTGTTAAATGCATGGTCAAATGTTGCTGAGAATCTCAGATACTCTTCTTTTTCTTTTCCAAATTATTCTATATCTCCTTTTCTCGGATAAACCTTAAATTGGGTCATTAGCTATCACAACCCTTGGACCACAAAAATGATGAACTTGTACAGAAAAACACTTAATTTTGTCATATCGATACGTTTCATATTAACGACGGGTAAATCTTTCTTGATTAGCAAAGCAACAACAAAAATTATGATAAAAATAATTAAAACTTTAAAAGGTTTTATTTACAAAACATTTTTAAAGTATAACGTTGATATATTATCAACATACTTTTTTATATTATCAATTAATTAAAAATAACTTCAAGTTATTATAAAAACTATCAGTTATCGAGTTGATTGAGTTACAGACGATACTAATCAATCCATTTTTTTCTTCTTCTTTTGATTTAGTTTGAATTGATTGAGTAATCAAGTTGACCCAAACTCACGATTACCCTACTCACATATTCTCCTCCTTTTTCTTCTTTCATTGATCTGCTTCATATTATTATTTGTAAAATAAGGACAATTGTGAAATTGTATTTTTCCAACTCAATAACCTTAATATAGCCCTCAAATACCATAGATTTTCCTTGATTAGTAGTGCGCTATTTGAGTATATTGCAATGAGATGCTTCAATGGTTTTCCTTGCCAATTTAATATATCTGGATCTAAACCAATTTATAAAGTGTTGCCTTTTTAATAAGATTTCTTACAATTTTTCTACTACTAAAAACAAAAGGGGGTAACTGGTCCCCTTTCTCTAATATTCTCCCATATTTTTAAAACAAGAGACATGATTGAATGAAATAGATACAAAATTATTAATTATGTAACTTTTCATCTTATTTCTCCTCCTCTCATAAAGGGTAAGATGTATATTCAAGAAAGTTCAAAATATTGAGCAACATGCTTAGTCAAAAACCACTTTGAATATTATTAGACAGTTACTCCTTTTTTCATGCTCCACCACCGCATTCATTATATTGAAAACATATAATCTAGGATTTGTCTATCTTTAGGGAAAGTGGATTGGGGTTGGTCAAGGATAATTATTGATCCTCTTACCAAAAACCTTAATATAATTTCATGAATGCAACAAATAAGAAAAACCAGTCTCTAGTACGTCCAAAACATTTTGTAAGCTATCTATCTCAAGTATAAAGGGAAAAAAATGTTCCTCCTAACACATGCTTAAGTTATCTCCTCCTTTTAATATTATTCCAGTTCACACAAACAACTGCGTGAGATTGTAGAAAGTTATGCTTTAGACATTTCGCATTAATTAATCTTCCTAAATAGTAAATCCTAATGGTGAAATTTTGTGTGTTTCGGTTTACGCAAAACAAAAAGAAATTAAAGAAAAATCTCTCTCCATGATTCCATGTATATTTTATATTATAAGGGTTGAAATGGGACAAAATGACATGTGCAGAAAAAGTATCCGATGCGTATAACGGTACAAGGATACACTACAATTTTTCTTATAAATAAAAAGACGATTTTTTTATGCGAAATTCGAAAAATGACAATGAGAGACGCAATAGCTTACCTATATTTTCGTTACGGCTAGTGATCAAAGTGCAATTAATGCAAACCTGCATAGTTCAGAAATCAGAAGCCACCCACCAATAATACATGCATGGAAATTGGCCAAATAGAAGAAAACAACTAAAGACATTTCATGTTATGATATGTTGGTTTGTTTGGATAGGGAGTTAAGGCATATAACTAGGGGCATTGAAAATCAATAAGAATCCTTTTAATACACGACATTTTCTTAGTGTACTGAGGTATAAATACTATTTATGATTTGAAATCAATTTCCTCCCCACTTAACTAATTTGCAATAGTTGTCGATATACTATTTGGTAATGTCACGATTTTAATTGATCTGTTTTTTTTTTTTAACACTTTTACCGTGTGTTTCACAAGAGAAATGAAATTGAAGGAAAAGAATAGAAGATAAAAGAAGGTAAGACAAGAAAAGTAGATAAAAGAAATAATTAGAAATTAAAAAAGAATGTTAATTTTAATAAATAAATAAATATAAATTATATATAAATAATTATGTAATATAATCAATTATATATGAACAAGACAAATAATGAAATGGGTGTCGCATTTGTGTGAATCATTTTATTTTATGAGGTGAGCTCAACCATAATTTAAGCACATTTCTACTCACTTATACCAAATATATTCTTAAAATTAACTTCTACTCTACCAAGTGAAGTGTTAAGATGACATTAAACATAAATAAAATTTAAAAATGTTAATAATAATAATATTATTATTATTAATTTATTAAAATTATAAATTTGCGTAGGAGTTAACGTGTAATAAAGAAGCGTGTGTTCCAGCCTAAATTATATGATAACAAACCCCAAATGCAAATAAAGTCCACTCTAAAAAAAATAGGTTTGGGAAAAATTGTCCAAGTGAAGCAAACAAGGGCATGGAATTTCAACGGGACGGGTTTGATCGGTCCCCTCATAATTCAAAATCCGGAAAAATCCAAGTATTATTTTCTTTTGAGATGAATAAGCAGTCAAAAATATTCAACGACCCCATCTATTTATTTTAAAAATAAATTCAAAATATATATAATCCTATTTGCATGCTTAGCTAATGGACACACCGCTTTATTGGCAGTGTGTCCTCTGTTCCCAGAATTGTGTCTGAATCTGTCTACAACGGATCTTACAACCCCATAACCTTTCTCTCTCCTTCTGCTATTTCAATACCTCTTTCTCTCTCTTCTACTCATCGGATGGAGTTTGGAGTTTGGACTATCGTTTTCCTGTTCTCGTGAAGTGCATGTGAAGCTTGCTGAGAGATCTGGGCCTTAATAATCCAAACGGGTCACCTTCCTTTTTCTGATTCAGGCGTTTGAGGTGTTTGCCTTCTACCTTTTCTTTTTCTCTCTCTTTTTACTCTCCCCTTTTCCAAGATGTTACATCATCCTCTTAATGCCTCTGCTTCATTAAACTCCCTCTCATTTTGTCACTCTGGGTGGTTGGTACTTTGAGTGAGTGCACTTGAGCTTTCAGATAATGCTCTTCTTTTTGCTTGGTTAGCGTCAAAATTGTGCCTTGTGGTGTTTAAAGTTATTGGGGTAGCAGCACTGTTGTGTGGGCCGCAAAAAGTTCCTTCCTTTTGCTCCTTTGGTGGGTTCAATGGGTTTGATTGAATGTTGGGTTGTATTTATGGTGTCTTGTGGGAGTTTCGGTGGTTGATGATTCCTCATGAAGGGTGTTTTATTACTGGCTCGAATCTTTGTAGGTTTTGTTCATGGGATAATTGACCATGAGAGTCGCGGTTTCCATTTTTGGCGAGTTTGAATTCTAGCCTTATTTTGGCATTTCCGGGGTGATTATTGGGGGTTGAGGGTTGAGCATTTTTCTTTTCCTTTTTTGTTTTTGATGCTATAATAGTGAAAGCTTGCCGCAGTTATAGACAAAAATGAGGGTTTTTATGATTTGTTTCATCAATTTGGAGGAGATTCTACTGTTAGAAGGGTTGCTGTTCTGATCATGACTAGGGCTGTCCGCAGTAGGATACTTAAAGATGCGAATGGTGATATTAGTGATCATCTACGCAACCACATCCACTTGACAAATTGTATTCACCTTAAGAACCATATGCACAAGAACAGCCCCATACTGGCTGATAGGTCAATCATGAGAGACCTAGTTGTGCTGCAGAGATCACGATCACTTAGAGACCCTTCTGCAAGTCCTCCATCATGGCACTCGCCTTCTGTAGTTGACTTGCTTTTCAGAAGAGTTGAAAATGATGCCGCGTCTCAAGGGGGAAGAAAATCTGTTGGTGTAGAGCGCAGGAAGGAAGGAAGAAGAAATTCTGGCACTTCACCACCCTTGGTGAGTATAGGTTCATCAAGAGTTGCTCCGGGTGAGGTTGGTAGGGGTAATGATGGGATGATGGTGCCTAGTGAACGTAGTAGCAGGAGTGGAATGGGAGATGGAAGGAGAGTTGGGAGGGAAGAATCCGGTAGGAAGAATGATAAGCCTGACCTTTTGGATGTTAATCATGGAGAGCCTCTCAATCAAGCTGGCAAAAGTTTGGCTGAAGATGTTATTTCAAGGCACTCTGAGTCTAAAGATAGAAAGAGCAAGCAGAGGGGGAAGAATGTTCGAGATGTTCAAGTTAAGACCCTTTCTCAGCAGCTAAATGATGTTCCATTGGATAGTGATGATTTAGCGTCATCGAACATTCATTTTCGAGGAAGGTTTCCTAGACAGGAGAAGATTATTGAGGAGGCAGAAGCCCGGATGCGCAGTCATGGTGGTGGAATGAATAGGGGGAAAAGGCGCAAGTTTCGAAGCACCCGAAGAACTCGGGTTGCTACAACATCAAGGGATATTGGAGCTGAGAATGAACTGTCTGTTGCTTCCAACTCATTAGCTCAGGCTTCAGCTCACCACAAATATCACTTGGAGGAGGCTGAGGAGTTTGCCGATGACAATGTTACTAGGGCTCCAAAAAATGGGTGTGGCATTCCTTGGAATTGGTCCAGAATTCATCATAGAGGTAAAACATTCCTTGACATGGCTGGAAGAAGTTTCTCTTGTGGTTTATCTGACTCAAGGTTGAAGAAAGGGATATTTGCTGCCAATGGAAGAAATATTTCTGAGATGCCGATGGCATCTGAGCGCTCAAGCTCTTGTACAAAGTCTGATGCAGAGGCACTGCCTTTACTAGTTGAGGCATCTGGATCTCACGCAAGCACTGAAAATGCTTGTTGGGATCATGACTATTCTGGGGAACTAGGTCTTTTTGGTGATAATTTATTCAAGCATGATATTGATTCTGATCTCGCTTCTGAAGCTAGATCTGGTGATCAGCGTAAGTTGAGAGGGAATCGTCATGGTAGACACCAAAGTTTAACACAAAAGTATATGCCTCGAACCTTCAGAGATATGGTTGGGCAGAATTTAGTGGCACAAGCTCTTTCCAACGCAGTTGTCAAAAGGAAAGTTGGATTGTTGTATGTGTTTTATGGTCCCCATGGCACTGGAAAAACTTCCTGTGCTCGCATATTTGCCAGAGCTCTGAATTGTAATTCTTCAGAACACCCAAAACCTTGTGGATTTTGCAATTATTGCATAGCACATGATATGGGGAAGAGTAGAAATATACGGGAAGTAGGTCCAGTTAGTAATTTTGATTTTGAGGGCATCATGGACCTACTTGACAATATGGTTGTTTCCCAGCTTCCGTCACATTACAGAGTTTTTATTTTTGATGACTGTGATACTCTGTCAATGGATTGTTGGAATGCCATATCAAAGGTCATTGATCGAGCACCTAGACGTGTGGTTTTTATCCTTGTCAGTTCTAGTCTTGATGTCTTGCCTCATATAATAATATCCAGGTGTCAAAAATTCTTTTTTCCAAAGCTGAAGGATGCAGATATTATATATACACTGCAGTGGATTGCAACCAAAGAAGGTCTAGAAATTGAGAAGGATGCCCTGAAACTCATTGCATCAAGGTCAGACGGATCACTGAGAGATGCTGAGATGACCCTTGAACAACTTAGCTTGCTTGGGCAGAGAATATCAGTTCCTCTTGTTCAGGAACTGGTAAGCTGTTTATATATTAGTGTGTTTCTTCCTCACTGCTTTTCTTACATTAGAGTCTATTGTTATTGTAAACTGGTGTTAATATTGTTAATTTGCAATGCATGAATTGCTCTGAAGTTAAATCCTTTCTTCAGGTAGGGCTAATCTCTGATGAGAAATTGGTGGATCTGCTTGATTTGGCATTATCTGCTGACACAGTTAACACCGTGAAGAATTTGAGAGTGATTATGGAAACTGGTGTTGAGCCATTGGCTTTAATGTCACAACTTGCTACAGTAATTACTGATATACTTGCTGGGACTTATGATTTCACAAAAGAAAGGCGAAGAAGGAAATTCTTCCGAAGACAGCCATGTGAGTCAAATAACCTCATTTTCAGTGATAGCATTCTAAGTTATCAATTTATTTCAAATTCTTGTCACTTTTTAAACACACACATCACACACCCAGATATCGTTTGGATCCTATAATTGGCTGTCTTAATAAATATTTTATCTAGCAAATTACTTGAGGTTTTACATTTCTGTCATTGTCATTGAGACTGGAAAGTCTTATTCTGGTTTCATATTGGATATTTTTTTTTTTTTTTCAGTGTCCAAAGAAGACATGGAAAAGCTGCGCCAAGCTCTGAAAACCTTATCCGAGGCTGAGAAGCAGTTGAGGATGTCCAATGACAAGTTAACATGGTTGACAGCTGCGTTGCTTCAACTTGCTCCAGACCAGCAATATGTGTTGCCTACTTCATCTGATAATAGTTTCAACCATAGTCCCTTTGCTCTAAAAGATACAGATGTGAGAGAAGCAGCTAGACTGACTGGTAACCCTGTTGACATTTCTAACAAAGGGAGACGATTATCGATGGATGCTAGAATTGAAAATTTCCATGCTGGAAGCTCAGCAGATGGTATGACCAAAGGTCTTGGTTCTGAGAAAAAACGACATAGTGTGTCTGGTTTTACCCCTCAACAAGCGCATTTGCAAGCTGCTGATAAGATTAGGATGAGTGAGAGGCAGATTTTGGGTAAAAACCGTAGAGACATCGAAGAGATATGGTTAGAGGTGCTTGAGAGGATACAAGTTTCTGGTCTGAAAGAGTTTCTGTTTAAAGAAGGCAAGCTGATCTCTGTTAGTTTTGGGGCAGGTGAGTGTCAAATCTGCGATGCTTATTCATTATTCAATAATGCAATTAATGATGTTTTATATTTATATGTTTGAAATCTTTCCCTTGAAATTTAATTTTCTGTGTTAATATGATATCATGCTTTTTCGATGCATTTTAGATTTAGAAAAACTAGGGGATGAATTAGTCTTTGTATTTGATTGCACTAGCTGTTGTATCACGCAAAAAAGTCAGCAAATTCTGATCTTGTGACCTTGTTTAATGTTATTAGAGTTTATCATAAAGTTAAAATGGTAAAACAATCCTGTGACGCTGAGCTCTTAGTCATGTCATTATCAGTGTTAATATAACATGCATAAGTTTTCCATGAATTTCAGTTCAGGTCAGCAAGAATTAGGGGATAAACTGATCTTTTAGTAGTATCAACCAGATGGCCTTGTATTGCTATTATAGTGGATTGAAAAATCAGTCCTGGCATCATTGTTTATGTTTTAGAATTTACCTTTGCTAAAAATAACTACCGGCTTTCTATTTTGAGTGCTTTTATTTCACGCCATTCTCGTGTATATTTGATGATTTATCTCATTAATCATTATTTTGCTATTTTACTGGTTGACCTTTCCCTAAATTAAATTTGCATCTTGCTTAATGTTGTTATTATGATAGTTTTGCTTCTTTGTCTCTTCAACGTTCAATTTACTCATTGACATTCACCATTTATCTAATGATATAGTTTGATTCTTTATTTTACAGCTCCAACTGTGCAGCTAATGTTTAGTTCTCAACTGACCAAATCTACGGCTGAGAAGTTTAGGGGCCATATCTTGCAAGCATTTGAATCTGTACTTGGATCTTCTATAACAATAGAAATTAGATGCGAGTCAAGTAAAGATGCAGGCTCAGCTGTTCAACTGCCTCTCAATGATAGTTTGTCTCAGATTGGCGACTTTAATGGTGTTGGTACTCTAGCTCATCCATCACTAACTGGTTCTGTTGAAAATAGAATGGGTGAAATTGTAGAAGAAGCAACTTCTCAAGTGGAGCACAAGAAAAACGAGCAGCAGGTTGATGCTTGTGGAACATCTTATAAAAGTTTAGAAGGTACAGGTGTAGGACAAGCATCAACATCGCAAAAAAAGCCAATTGTTAAGTCACATTTAGACCAAAGAAAGCTTATGGAGCAAGGTCAAAGTCGAAGTCTTGTAAGAAGCAAAGTATCTCTTGCTCATGTAATCCAGCAGGCAGAAGGTCAGAGAAGTGGGTGGTCAAAACGTAAAGCAGTTTCTATTGCTGAGAAGCTAGAACAAGAGAATCTGTATGTTGATATTCCATCCTTTTCTCTTTTTACATTATGGCCCATAATTTGCATAGTATGAATGGTACGGGGATGGGAATCTCAATTTCAATTAGCCTGTGTTGGGAAACTGCCTTAATTGTGGCCACTCCCTACCCTTTGTTATAGCCTCTAATCTCTATGGAGCTACCTTAATTGCATCCTCAAGGGTGGTGTGTAGTTCCACATTGATTAGAGACATGACTTAAATTAAGCTTATAGAGTTTGGAAGTTCTTGCTGTACAAGTAGATTTTGTAGTGTTGAGTTAGATTCTAAGTTCAAATTCTAAGACTGCATTAGTAGTATGTTGATTTTATGGGGTTGAATTAGTCCCAAGTCTAGCTATATTACTATTTCACCTTCGGTAACAGAGTTGGAAGTTTTATAAATATCAGGTTTTGCATGCATGTAGAATTGAATAATTATTGAATAGTAGTTTTGTAGAATTATATTCTTGGTTAAGAATAAGATTATCCCTCCTTTTCAATTATGAGGCAGTAGGGGATAGAGATTGTTAATGCGAAAATTTTGGATATCTTTTTCAGTAATACGATAATGTCTAGAACTTATAAGCTATAACTGCCTATTAATTCTAAAATCATTTACTCCTTAGGAGACTGGAGCCAAGATCAAGGAGCTTACTATGCTGGAAAGCATCAAGAGTGACCCGGCGAAAGGTAACTCAATTTATTGTGATTCTAAAATTTATTTTTATAAAGAATAAATAATTAGAAAAATGAGTGATCTAAAATTTATTTTTATAAAAAATAAATAATTAGAAAAATGAGTGTTAGTTTTTTGTATTCCTATTTTTTTCATAAGTCATGCCACAATGAATGCACAACATTAATGTTTTGCTTCATTGAGACAGTATTTTGATACAATTTGAAATCTTATGGAAATCAGAACTGTGTTTTCTCTAGATCATTAGATCTAGAAGGGGCATCCTTAATATAGAGGGTTCTGTTCCGCATCATAAACTACATCAATCTATGCTTAGACACATAAGATTCTGGGTTGACGTGCCTAACATCTTAAAAGAAAGCTAAGAACCAAACATGCTATTAATCTAATCCTTTTCTTTTTTCCTTTGGAGATATTTGGGTTTTCTAACTTTAAGTTTCTGGCTTTCAGAGCTCTAGCTAAAATTGGTTTCTATTGTAACTGACTGTCTTCTTATTGACTTTGTAAACTGTTCATAAAGGCATGCATTGTGTAGCTTGATGCAGCAATGCCCTTAAGATTGCAAGCTCTAGTTAAGTTCCATTATAGGGCCGATATTTTGGAACCTGTTGTGATTGCTCGCCTTTGAGTCCCTTCGATAATGAGTATCATATGGCCAGTGGTTGTTTTTCACTTTATTTTTTTGTTTGCCATGAATAAAAGATTTGATTGGGTGTATGTGGGCATGCAAGTTCATCTTTGTTCATTTTATTAGTTTGGTAGTGATGCAGTGATGATATATCCTGATATCCATTACTTTCATGGTTTAGCGATGAGAAATCTTCGAAGTTCTTTATGTTAAATATAATGTTAGTTTGGCAATTTATTTATTTATTATTATTATTATAATATATGAGGACATTATTGATGTATTTAATTGCATTGGCAGCTGTCACGCTTGAAAATTCGAACCCGAAAATCACGTGCACTGCTGAATCTTGTCTCATGTGGGAAATGTTTGTCTACAAAATCTCCAAGGTAGTTTTGGGAATGTTTAGGGTTCATTCAATAGCCAATTTGTATTTGCCTGTATTTAGGCTTTTTCCTGACGTGTTATAGGGTCTAATTTTACAGGGTCAAGCCTTTTCTTTCTTCTTCTTTCATTTAATTAAATAAAAGCATGTAGTTATATATCAGGTGAAGAAAATGTAGGAAAGTAATTAAACTAGTAAACTCCATTTTAGTGATAAGATATTGTATATTTTTCCTTCGTAGCATAAATTTGATGGAAATTTCAAATTAAGATACAGTTGACATTTTTTAGTCACTACTATTGAAACTCTAATGTTAAATTATTTGTGGCAATACTCCAAATGCAGTAAATATGTATGGATAAAGTTAGTGTAAAGTGAAGAGTGCACTTTGCACATAAGGGAGTTGATGAGCGTGTACGTGTTTTAAAATTCCAAGTAACCATCAATTGATTCATTAATGTGATCAATATCCTGCGTCCGAGCATCTTTCTGCTTAGTGCTATTGGGTAATTAATAGGTCGGTGCAGGTGCAGCATCACATACTGTTTTCTAAAGGGTTTGTTTGTGTAGAAGAGAGAAAATAAATAAATAAATAAATAAACAAACTTTTTATAAATTAAAAGTAATTTATACGAAAGTTAAATTTTTTAGAGAAATTATATAAGAGAATTTTTATAAATTAGTTTATATTTAGAAGTTAATTTTAATTTATGAATTATTTTTAAAAGTATTTTTAGAGAAATTTATTTAGACAGGTTTTTACTCGAACCAGTAGTTTTGTAAAATTGAATGTCAAATTTTGTCATTTCATAAATATACAAGACTGTCATAAGAGTTATTTTTGTTTTGTAGTCATGTGGTAATTAAAGTTTGTTTAGTTGGTATGAATGAGACTATTTCACATGGACACGAGTTTAAATTTCGTTGTCAATATTAGGAGTCTTTTTAGTAAATAATTGAAAGTACTTTTTTAAGTGTTTTTTTATTTTTTATTTTTTATTTAGCCTTGATATTTATCCCCATGTTGGTGAGATCTCGGAAGCTAATCTACTTTAAAAAAAAATATCACTAAAAAACTTCCATTTACCCCAAAAATGTAGTCCTTCAACTAGGTGTACCATTGGTCCTGTTCCAAATAATATGCAGAATCAGCAAATGGGTACACAATAGAGGGAATGGAGGCTGTTCTTATATACATTACTGAAAAAGTGAGATTTTATGAAATGTGATATTAGGGTTTAAAGAGGGGAAATTACTTATTTGTTGAAATTAGATGTTTTAGCTTGTGAATTTTTTTAATAGAAAAAAGTTCAAAACAATTTGATCAATTCAATTTATGTAGATTTTGCTTCTTAAAAAAAATATGAAGATTTTAAGTACATAATAAGAATTTGAAGTCCAGGTAGAATCAAATTGACAAAGAAATCAAATTTAGAACTTCATCATCCAATGAACTTAAAAGGTTGTCTATGCTAAATTTATAGGTGAAATTAACATTGTTTGATAAACGTCGTCTAAATAAGCTAAAAAAAAGTTGTTAGGAAAGAGTACGAATAGTATTTAATAGATATTTTCAATTTTTTTGGTCTATTTAGATGCTTATATTTTCAGTTATGTAAAATTATTTCTTTGTTGGAATTAAATCAAATTTTGAAAACTTTATTTTATAAAATGAAATGTATTTTTTTTTCATTTTTTAACTCATAAAATTCATAATTATATCAATTAATTTAATTTTAACTAGAATAATTTCATGATTTGAGCATTTAATTATTTTTTATTAATCAGAATTACAAGGATAGCTTCAAAATTAAGATTATATATTTACTATTTTAACTTCCTACACTAGGTCGATTTTAATAGTGGTTTGATTTGAGCATTTTAAATTGATAACCATTATAAATTCTATTTTCTTAATACACCACTAGGTCAATCTTATGATAACAAAATTCAAACATAAAATTTTGTGCATCCTTACTTCAATAATTTATTTATTACTTATTTATTATGTTTCAAATTTATAGTGAATTCAAATTAATAATTGTCACAATATTTATTTTAATTGCATAATACAGATATATAATTAGAAATTTAATATATATACATATATATGTTTTGTTTATAAATTTTAGAAACTATAATTTTAAAACTTTATAAATTGACGTAAAAAAGTGAAAATTGTGGCACAACAAATTTCAACTTAATTATATTACTTACTTGTTTTGGCCATTTCAACTTTTCTTTTATACTATGATAAATGAGGATGAACATGAACATTCTGCTATGGAGAATCCAACATAGTAGGGTCACCAGCTGGGATTGGACCAAAATTGCAATTTTGGAGAAGAGATAAGCCCAACAATTATGGTTTCCTGTTGGGCTCTGATTTTGGGTTATAATCATTCCATATTTTTTTACTGATTTCTGTCTGTCGTTACCATAATATATTTATATATATTAGTGGAAAAGGGGATCGTGTCTTTATATATTTATTTTTTAAAAATTCTATAAAAAAAAAGGGAAAAAACAAAACTGTATATAATTAAAAAGTGGTAGTGATTAGTTAAGTGAATTGTGTCCCAAAAAAGGGTTTGTATGAAAAGTAAAAATGACTAATTTTTTTTTTTTAAAGATAGATACATCCTCTAATTTGCTTAAAGAAAACTTATTTAATTAATGTATATAAATATACCTTATAGGAATGTTATTGTTAATTTGATATTTTTTACATGCATGCAATTGTTGTTTCAAACTTATATCAATTTTCAATTAAGGATCCCATTAGTACAAAGATTTAATAATATGTTTTATTTCTCTTTGTTTCAAGATCCCACATACATTTGTAATGAATACGAAAACTACTTTAAAAGATATGTTTATAATTGCGCATACAAAATTTTAAGCATATTATAATGTTCTTTTATATACATGTTAAACATTTTCTTATTACATTCGATGTTAGATTTCTTATATTTGTCTTTATAATTGTGTTCATTTTAAAATTTATATTTGTTTAATAAGACATAAACAAATATATTAATTGTCCAGACTCTTAACAATCCATTGTCTTACATATGCAAATAAGAAGTTAGGTGTCCTTTAGTTTAACTATCTTAATTTTATTTTATATTAAAATATAAAATTGTTAGAAATAAAAAGTTTTTTAATAGTATTTAAAAATACAAGACATATTTTCCACTCAAAAATATATAATTAGAGATTATTTTTTAAAATATAAAAATTATCAAAATAAATTTCATTTCTTTGGACAATATATCTTTTTTGTACAAGTGACTAGTATCTAATCTTGGACAACATGCAAGACCTTGTTGGCTGGAAAAAAAAAATGCAAGACATGATAAAAATAAAGCAATATTTTTATAATGAAAAGTAAAATTCAACACAGAATATTTTTTTCAAATCAAAACATCTAGAAACGCTTTTTTAATAATAAAATCCCCTTGTTCGACACTAAGCATCATGAATCATGTGGGTTGAATTATTAATGGTAGGTAGAGTTTAATATTTGGAGTTTTGCTGTTTCATCCCTAATCTCAGTGATGTGGGTCCCACGTTTCATTTTTCTCTCAACTTTTGCATCTGCCCATAAATTCTTTTCCCCTTCGTTCGGATTCCAAATTTCAGACAACAGAAAGGATAACGATTAAGGAACAAAGGATTAGTGTATCTTAATTAAAAAATATATCTCAGTCAAAAAAAATTAAAAAAACTTAAATAAGATATTTGAGTTTTAATTATATTTTTATTCATTGTCACAATTTAATTGGTTATATTAAATAATAAATTAAAATTTTAATTAAACATATAACTGGGAATTAATTCAGAAAATATTTAAGGTATTTTAAATGTGATTATAAAGCATTACAATTTTAACATAATAACTTTATTAAATATAATTACACTAATTAATTCTAACCATTAAATTATAATATATTACTTAATTCTTTTTCTCAGATTTTATTTAAATTGAACAACATATATATATATATACTTAAAGAGTTCTTATTATATATTTTAAAAATATATATCATGTCAATTTTTATGTATATTGATAAAGTATTAAATCATTTTAAATTAATAAGATTTTGTAAAATGGTTTATAAGACAATATCTTTTAATTTAATGATAAGTTTTAATATTAAATTATATAATAAAATATTAAACAATGTAATACTTGGTTCCAGAAGTTTAATTTAATTAATCTCCTTATAATATTTTTCATGAACAAATTCATATATGTATAATGTATGTATGAATAAAATTTGAGTATAAAGACTAAAGCAAGATTTTTAAAATTATATAAACTAAATATACTAATTTTAAATTTGAAGGATTAAAAATAAATTTATCTTAAATTTGAGGGACTAAAAATATATTAAAGTCCAATAAATTATAAAACTCAGGATATAAAAAATTACAAATTAACATAAATTATTAATTATGTTTTTATAAGAAAAAATATTAAAAATAATCGATAAAGTAATTAATTCAATTTATAATTTTTTTATTAAATATCTATTTTATTTTATTTAAAATATTTTAAATTAGTTTTATAAATTAAAAATAACTTTTTTAATAGGATTGGTTCAAATCGATTTATTAAATCATCGATTTTAAGTTAGTTCAACTAGTTATAAAATCCTCCAATTCTTGCTAGCACTCGAACCGATTCCTAATTTGATTGGTCAAACTGGTTGGTCTGATCTAATTTTCAAAACAGTAATATTAGTAGAACATTCATTTGTATAATCATATGGTCTAATTTTATGTTTTTTTATTTATTATAATAACTGTTTCTAGTAGAAATTGTCTCTTATAACATTTATTTTAAGCTTTATTGATTAATTATATGATATGTGTTGATTAATTATTGAATTGTTATATTTATTATTGTTTCATAGCTTTAAAGGTTAAGGGATACTTAAGAATTAAGTTGTCAATTAAATAGTTTTAATTAGGGTCAAGTTGGCTAAGTTTAGGAAATAATATATAATGTTTTTCTTAAGAAATGAACTTCATAAGTTCATAATATGTAAGTTCATATTTTAAGAAAACTTATAGAGAAGTTAGATAGAGGAACTCTAGAAGCAAGAAGATTTATTTCTTCTTCTAAATTCCTTAGAGTCTCTAACCTTTCTCGATAGCTAAGTAAAGTTGAGAGATCAAAGATTCAAAACTCAGAGGTCGAGAATCTCAAGTGAAAAAAGTTGTATGACGACCTTAAAGACTTTTGATTTTCCTTCCTCTTCATTGATTTTT